TACATCTTGGATGCCCTACTATAAAAAATGAGTGCAATTTTAACTGTAAAATGCTGTAAAAACGTTACGGAAAAAAAGCTGTTAATAGGTTAACAGTAAGTTCCCGTACTATGGACATGGAAAAACGGTAAAAGATCTAACCAGACATTTTTTTTAAACAGATATTCCCATAATTTCAGCAAATTTTCATTTTTGGGTGACCTATTCCTTTAGCAGAACCGAACGTAAACAGCATAACCTAATTAAACCACATTTAAAGTGCTGAATCCAGCTTATATCAAAAGAACAGTATTTTATTTGGTATATAATCACAATAAATAACTACATGTGTTAATGTTTGCCATTTAAACCCTCTGCATGAATTAGCCAAATCCTGGGGGATTATTTGAGGTACAATGTAGCATTAGCTAGCATAGAACATTTTTAGCAAATCCTTTTAGAAAGTCTTATAATACCACATTGTTGTGTTAGTGTGTGCCTATGTTATGCTAATATTACATTACTGGCATCCACTGGTCCCTTTGGAACAATCAGTGCACTAGCGTGAGCAGAAATTATCCTTACTGAGTCAGCGATCCAGACATTATTGTCCCATTTCTGATACTTCCTTTGAAAAAGAAATTTAAGCACGTTTGCAAGTTTGTTCAGTCATATTATTTATGAGCCCCACTGTCTCGGAGGAAAGTAAACCGTACCGCATTGAGAATTTGTTTTTTTATTGTTGCCCTGCACATTTGGTCGGCAGTGCAATGTAAGCAGAGATTTTACGACTGTCCTGCTAATGCACATACAGCAGGCTGTAAAAGAACAGCACATCCTTTTAAAAACAAGCAGATACTAGAAATCTCAGAGTGATTTGCTATGTATAATGTATGGTAATCATTACAATGCAAGAGCAAAGAGATACCTTTTTACTGTTCCCTTTTGCAGTTCTCGTTTTTATTTTCATATGCCATAAATTGATGTTGACACTGAAAGGAACCATACATCTCAAAGAGCTGCTCAACAACACATTAACCATTAATCATACAATCACAATGACACTGAGAACTTCAAAACAGTCGATTTTTATTTATACAAAAAAATGCCTCATGTAAAATGTGATTTTCTTTTAACTTTTTTTTCTTGCATGCCACCCCATAGACAGCAACGCAACTGAAATGTTCCCAGGTCCAGAAACGTAGCAAGGACATCGGTAAAACAGTCCATGTGACATCAGTGGTTCAACTTCAATTTTGCGAAGCTACGAGAATACTTTTTGTGCGCAAAGAAAACTAAAATAACATGATTTATTTAACAATTCTTCTCCCCCAAGTTCCGCCATTTTGGAGAGTACCCAAGAACGTAATTGGCGTTGTTTACGTTAGAGGGGAAAGCGCGCACATGAACGTAATCGGCGTAATCAGCGTTGTTTACACTTAGGGTAAAGCGTGCGTATGTGTTGTGACACTCTCCAAAATGGCGGAAGACAGTAACTCGGGATATGGGAGGGTCAGACAGCTCTCAGATTCCATCAAAAATATCTTAATTTGTGTTCCGAAGATGAACGGAGGTCTTACGGGTTTGGAAAGACATGAGGGTGAGTAATTAATGACATAATTTTCATTTTGGGGTGAACTAACCCTTTGATATCTAGATAATTCATTTATACCATAAACACCCCTAATGCCTTTAAGAATAACAAACAGCACCTATATAACTCCTCCTGAAATACGTGCTTATATATCTGCTCTTAAAAGCTTCAAAGCTACAAGATGGATGCAAATGCATTTCCATTTCACTTCCATTATGTATTTAAAGAATTGTCATTATAAGGTGTTCTAATGCAAAAAAAAAAAAAATTGTTTTTCAGGATCTAATTATTTGATAGTCCATGTCTTAAAGCACTTAATGGGAACACGTGGACTTGTGAGGTTTTATCTGTGTTTGAATGGTGAACTTGTAGTACCTTTCTTGGTTATGTGGGCGATGAAGAAGACATGTTGTCTGGAGGTTGTATCCTGACTTGCATTATTAATTGCTTATTTTCACAGGCAACCTGATGTTGACACTCCTACACTCTTAAAAATAAAGGTGCTTCAAAAGGTTCTTCACAGCGATGCCATAGAAGAACCATTTTTGGTTCCACAAAGAACCATTCAGTCAAAGGTTCTTTAAAGAACCATCTCTTTCTTACCTTTTTGTAATCTGAAGAACCTTTTTTCACAACAAAGAACCTTTTGTGAAACAGAAAGGTTCTTCAGATGTTAAAGGTTCTTTATGGAACCATTTAGACAAAAAGGTTCTTCTATGGCATCGTGAAGCACCTTTATTTTTAAGAGTGTACACCGTCTGGGACCCTGAAATTACATTCATGCCTATTTAAATATGAAACGTCAAGAGGTATCATACCAGGTCTGACGTCATTTTTATACAAAAAAAAAAAAAAAGAGATTCTCATGTATATGAAACGTCAAGAGGTATCATACCAGGTCTGACGTCATTTTTATACAAAAAAAAAAAAAGAGAGATTCTCATGTTCTCATGTGGTACTAATGTGCCACAACAGGCCAAAATCAGTAAGACTATCAGTAAACAACAACTTTAGTCTTGAAATATAGTGGCATGCATGTGTCATATGGGCTACTGCTCTTTTTTTGGAGCTTGACAGCCTTTGGTCACCATTCACTTACACTGAAAGAGCAAAATAACATCCTACTTAACATCTCCTATTGTGCTCGATGGAAGCAAGAAAATCATAGTTTTGGAACGTAATGAGGGTGAATAAATGAATTTAAGAACTTTCATTTTTGGGTGAACAGTCCATCATTTCATGGAAAGCTTTTATTTGCAAAATAAGATCCCTTATTTACATTTCTGAGAATTTTCTACAGAAAAGCGACCTCAATAGCATAAAAAACTTGCGCTCTGCTATCATCTTTGTATTGGCCAAATAAAAGACATTCTTATTTGAAAAATTTTAATATACTGTATGAATCAAGAGAACTGAATGAAAATAATAAATAGAGTGAAAACTGAGCTGACAGCCATGTAATGCTATTTTCAGAACTCAGGCCTGCCTTTTAATCTTCAGCCAGCCAGGCCAAGACGAACGTACAAAAGATTCATAAGAGGAACATTGTGGAACTCCACAAACAATCGCTCTGTTTGAAGGCTGAACCTGAAGAATGACCCCCCTTCTGTGAGTCTGTGGTCTGACTCCCCTCCGATTCCTCTAAATCCAGCCTACGGAGGAGAAACAAAAAGAAACTTTAATGAAGGAAGAGGAATTTAGAATCCGTGGAAGATAAGCATCTCGCTGAAAGGGAGAAATGGAAAGGATGAGGATCATGATGCCAGAGAGGGAGACAGAATTCAACACAGTGTTCTCTGTATAGCGAGAAAATTGTAGGAATCGTGAAAAAAATATGAAAGATGACTGTGATCACAGCTGACGCTAGGTTCTATAGAGCGGCACCGAAAGTGCAAGAAAAAAGTGTGAGACACACAGCGAAAGGGCCAAATCAGACATGCTCACTAACAAGGCTGGGGGTTTGAGGAGCTCTGGATGTCTCAAAGGAGGAAGAGGAGAACGGGAGACAAACTCGCCCCCCTCATGGTGCGACATCACACGGTAGTTTTTTCCCCCCTCCAGGTCTGGAAGCAGAGATGCAGGAACCCAAATGTGGGGATTGAGGGAGGTGTGCGTTCTGAGATCTTAACAAGCAGGAGGTCTTCATTTAAACTCTCAACCCCTTCCCTTCACACTACATTACTGTTCATATGGGTGAGAGAGATAATAAGACTCCGTAGTAATCCATAATCCGACTGAGACCTCAGCGAAAGTGGAGGAAGGTGTAGTCAGACCCGGGCAGAGAGGTACTGCAGTCATTTCAGAGAAATAATTTTAATTTACATTCATATTCATGTTCTTTGCAAACTCTTAGCATCACATACTAGGTCAATTAACCCTTTACTGTTACTAATTAAGTAGGACATTCTTACAGGAAAAATTATATACAAAAGAAGTAAATGAAATAACAGATTTCATTTTGACCTTTAGTGAAAAATCTCAACAAAGTTAGAATATTATGTAGTTCAAAAAAAAAAAAAAAAAAAAGAGTTCAAAAGACCCAAACCAAACCAGTTTGCTAGAAAAGCTATCCATTATTAGACTGAAAAGTGTAATATTCATATTCTCTACAAATTTTATAAATGTACATTTAAAAAAAACAATAAAACCTGATACACATTTGGTAAATTATATGTAATTTAATTGATTATATTAATTGATTTTATATATTAGTATTATTATTATTATATTATTATTTAATTTAATACATGAAGTGTGAATGTGTATATAAACTTTTAAAACAATTAAAAGTCAAGCGAAAAAAATACATACACACACACACTACCAAACTATTTTCTGCTGTGCAAGCTTATAGGAGAACCGTCAAAAATCCTATCATGTTTTATTCACAACACATGCAGAGAAAAAGCCAAAAAAATAATAAAATCCAAAAGTACTTTCTGCATCACACGCAATTATTATTCCAGCGTGGGTAATGTACCGTCATACAGTGAATGTGTGCTGTGCATTTGGAGATTAACAGACACTCGAGCTATACGTGCTGCCCATCTATTTGTGCCCTGTGTGTTTGTGAGCCAGCACCCTGTAAGTTATTCATGATTTTGGGGATTTTCTAGGGCAAATACATTCCAAAGCCCTTGAACAGAAAAACTGAGAGCTGAAAAAGAAACCGGCTGTTCTGAACGTGGGATATGAGGAGGAAAAAAATGACATTTGGAGACAAAGTGAAGAATGAGTTAATGTATTTGGATGTGAAAAGGCGATGAAAAGCAAATCAAACAATATGGAGAAAAGAAAGAGAGAGAGAGGCTGGGGGAAGCGGCAGAGCGATAGTATGGATGATAGGAGGGGGGCTAGATACAGAGAAAGAGAGAGAGATGGAGAAAGCGAGGGAGGGAGGAATTTCCCTCAGGGGCGACGCGTTTGTGCTCTTTCTCTCTCTCTCTGTTGTTCATTCACTCATACATACACTCCATCCACACACAGCATGTAGACACTTTCGAATTCATTCACCTCCCTCGCTCACACACTCAGTTTATTTTTACAACCTCCTTTCCTGCCTAGATAGTCTGGAGAAGCAGCTACGCCACCTCAACTTTAAAACCGCCGTCACAGAAAACAGGAGAGAGAAGAGACAGCAAGAACAGAATAAAACAAAAAAAGAGGTTTGAAATTCACTGAAGTGCTCAGAAGGATGGAATAGAGAAGCATGAAAGTCCAAAAACATCCGGGCGAAACACACTTTATGAGAGGAACTGACTGAAGGAGACAAAGCTCAGGTAAGCTCTTGTCCTGTTCTAGCACTGCTTTCATTCTCAGTGTCGTTGACCGGAGTATTTGGTCAGAGAAACTCTTGAATTTTAACCAGAACTTTGAACTGTGCTTAACATTGTCTCAGGAGTACGGTTGCCTACAGCATGTGAGATTTAAAAAGTGAATCCACTTCTCTAGTCAATCATAGCACTCTTTTAAAAACAAAGGCTCTGAAAGGAGGATTTTTGCAGCAATGCCATAAAAGAAAGAACCTTTCAATGAACAGTTCTTAAAATAATCATTGGTTTTCTTAGAACATTAAAAAAAATCTAAAGAACCTTTTTTTGACTACAAAAAACCTTGGTCCCATGGATGTTAAAGGTTCTTCTTGGAACCATAGATGACAATAAAGAACCTTCACAGAGGCATAGAAACTGTCTTCCTACAGACCTGACATGATAAAGAGATGTTAGCGATTGTTCTTAGAAGAGGTACTATAACTTTAGAGACCGATGTAGGATTTCCTGAAAACCAGGTATCACTAAGATCTGACCTTTATTCTTTTGGATTTTTATAATACAAAATTTAGCAAAAATGATATTAGCTGGTAATTTCTCAATTTTTTCATGATTTTATTCATTTTCTAGACGATTTATGAAGGTCTTTTTTATTGTTATATACTGTATATACCCACAAGTGTGTTTATTTTGTCTCTCACCAATGTAGCAAGTAAATGCTTGTAAAATAATTTTAACTAATGTCTACGGCTGCAAATCACCTGGTAAAGTGAAATTAGATGTTATATACACAACAACTTGGTTCTCCAAAGAAACGTTTAGTGAAAAGTTCTTAAAAAGAAAGATTTTCTCTCCTAGCGTCAAGAATATTGTAATAATCGTATTACTTTATTCCCCACTGTAAGAAACCTTTTGGGCAAATGAAAGGTTTAATTGATGTTAAAGATTCTTCAGTAAACCATAGATTACAATAAAGAACCTTTATTTTTAAGAGTGAACAGTAACTACTGTGGATATGAATACAAAGTCAGAAGATTCATCAATCCATTCAATGCAATGACACTGTTTAATTAAGTAATAAACATTTGGATTATATTTCAAGTTTTGTTCTATGAAAAAACAAGCCCGATGTTGACATTCTCTGTCATGTGTATGTTTGTGTATGTGAGTCAGTGGTTTCTAGAAGGTTGTGGGGCCATGGGAGTCACAGAAGGATGAATGGATGAGTGAGCTAATAGGGCTAATATGTTATGTACTTCTCACATGATACAAAATTTATTGTATCAAATCAGAAATGCAGCATGTGACTTGGTACGCCACCAAATTCAGATCTGCTGTGTAATGAAAAGGGGAAATCTGGCAGACATTAAAAATGCAATGATAAAACTCTCCCAGTTTTTATAGTACACGCCAGTATGGTGAAATGTACTTCACTAAATCCCATCCCTAACCATAGCCTATCACTAAAATCAGATGGATATTATGAATGTTGATATGCATGTTGTTCAAGCCTAAGGTCTACCCCAAACCTTAAAATCTGATTGGTCGAAAATAATGTTGTGCCCAGACCAAGGATGTTTGATCCAAAAACATGTCCTACTTGGTGAAATCACAGTAAGCAGCTTTCCTTTACATAAACATATTTGATTTCTAAGGTCTACCCCAAACCTTAAAATCTGATTGGTCGAAAATAATGTTGTGCCCAGACCAAGGATGTTGATCCAAAAACATGTCCTACTTGGTGAAATCACAGTAAGCTGCTTTCCTTTACATAAACATATTTGATTAAGATGCTCAGTGCAAGATGTTGACAATGGAAAGGAGGAAAAATACAGCTGGATCTGGATTAGATGAATGTCTGTCACCTCTGAGCTAGCATGACTTCATGGGGGCATAAAATGTTGGAGCATTAGTGATAGAGGAAGACGTGAATAATACATATCATATTTTATGAGCGCAGAACTGCTCTACTAAGTGCAATGAACCATACATAAAAAAGCAGAGAGAGACGAGACGAAAAGAGTCGCCTATATGCTGTATGTCTGTTTAAAAGTTTCGTTAAGAACAAGATTAAACAGGTTCACTCCAAAGCATTACATCAGCACGATTACCTGAAACAAAAGACTCAGACGTGGGTGGTCTGCTTTCATCCTAACATGCACATCTAGAATATGGAACAGAAGTTTAACACTGTATCGTTAGACAAAAAATATATTAAATATGGCTGAATGAGATTAGTGTTAATAACTAGTCAGTATGTAATCAAAATGCTTATAGCATTTCAAATTCAAATGCATTCAAAACAGAGATTAATATTTTATAAGCACATTGCACGGGCAATAGAGGACAACATCATCTGAACATCTGTTTGATGCAGAAAAGAAATAAAAAGCAGAATAAGCCACAAAAGAATTTAATTACCAAATGGACCCAGTCAACGCCATATTTTATTTTAAACGAGCCTGTGAGACATAAAAATACAGGCCACTGAATAACTTGAACTATCTTAATGTCCTGTGTTGTGTCTAATTTTACTTTAAACAATTCAGCAAACACCTATTCTATTCTTGCAGCCTACAGTTTTGCATTTGTACTTTAATCTAGATTTATAATACTTTTATGCATATTTTGTTATATAGACACACATAAACACGTACACAAACACTCTCTCTCTCTCTCTCTATATATATATATATATATACACGTATCTACCTCTCTCTCTCTCTATATATATAAAGTATACTACTATATATACAGGTCTTTGTAATTGTAAGAACTTCTCTGTGGAAGTTAAAAGATAAAAAAGATACTCTATACAGTAAGCTGACACATAGTGTTCATGGATAACTAAATGACTGTGGTGGGTCATTTATCTCTCAATGACTCACCTATCCAGACATTAGGCTATCGTAACTCACACAGAAACCATGTAGTACACCAAAACAAACACACACCCACACACTAGGACTAGAACTACAATATATAACTGAAAGGGCCAAGTCCAAACTGGACAGCTTGGAAACCCCATTGATTGACAGATGGTCAAATCTGCTGTGGGGTTCCATATTCAAACAGAAAGATGGACACCATGCACATGTTTATATCAGTCAACTCGTACTAAAACTGCAGTTTTTAAATACACTGAACACTAGATTATTTAGCATGGAACATGACCAGAAAGTGACATGTCTCTATTATATCACCTGACTTGACTGTGAGAACCTGTTGCAAGTCTGCCTAGCATTTTTGTCTTCTATATTTTCTTACCCAACTTTAAGCACTTGTTTGCAGTTGTGACCTGCTGCATTTAATGTCCCTGCTTTACTCGTCTTATGGTAAAGTGAGCGGATAAGTGTGAAGGTTACACTGTAGCGCAGAGGTCATTATGTACGTCACAGGGGACTGTACTCTAGACAAAACCACTCTGTTCTCAGGGAAAAAATCCCTATAAAGTCATAAAAACAAACCAGTTGATCCTTATATTATTAGATTGGCGTATCCTTGGATAAGCAGACAGGGATTTGTGTGTGTCTGACTGTTTATATGCATGTGACTGTGTGTGCTTGTGAATAGGGGAGTCTTTTCAGTTTGTTTCTTGGGTCATTAGTGTTGACAGTTTTAGTCCATAAAGATGACAGGCTACTGCTCTTCTGCTAAAAAAGTGATATTATTATTATTAATATTATCAGGCAACCCAAACCTGTTTCTTGATTTGAAACAATATCACATTAGAACATGCAGAAACTAATAAATAAATTTTTCTTTTAATTTTTAATTTATATATTTATTAATGGTCTGGTTTCTACAACATTCACTTTGGAGCAAAAATCTGGCTTTAAACTTGAAAGAAATAAAGGTTTGACATTTATCGTGATAATTATCGATATCGACTGATATGAAAAAAATTATCGTTTTGGCCATATCGCCCAGTCCTACTTGGAACTATAAACCCCCTGCTCATTTTCAGTTAATGTAACAAAATTGATTCAAGTAGTCCCTCCACAAACAGAATAATATGGTATAGCTCATATAATACAGTCTTGGAAAACTTAATAAATATTTGAGTTCATACTGAAATCTCTTTCATATTGAAATCGTAATTGTTGAGATCTCTTTTAAAACTCTAGAGGAGACACATGCGATGTTATGAGTCTTTTGTCTGGGGTAAAATCCAAGCAGCAGACTTAAGCAAAGTCTTCATTCGCATTCCATTTAATCTCATCGCTCTCTAGAAGAAATAACTAAGACATCTCATTTCTTTCCTACGGGACAAAAGCATTGCAAAACATACATGTATCTGGAAAAGCACAGCAAATTCAACTGCATGTTCGAGCGCACCTTGGTGTATCCTGATACAGAATTATGCATTAGATCATCCCTACTCACCACAGTATAGTGGAGGTCTCTACTCCCCTTCATATGTATGAAAAACCAACACACTGCAAAACAAGAAAAATAACAGCATCTTCTGCATCCCAAATGTCCCACAATGTATAGAACTGCCTGGCATTACACAGCAGGGCCTGACGGGACCGCTTTCTTGTCCACGCACTGGTTTCTCCAGCCAGTCCCGCTGGCTCTGCGCTCCAAACGTCCGTCACACTCACCAGCGCATCCCGTCTCGCCTGCAGGCAGGCAAAGTTTCAGCCTCTGTCCGGGCTTGTGAAGAAGCGCATACTGCTGAAAGCGCACTGACACACACGCTGCCTCGTCCACACACACACACACACACACACACACACACACACACAACATGCCACTGTTCCCTCACAATATAGAAGAACAAAAACACAGGCAGCGATGCAGAAAAATCCCCCCATGCACAACACATCCATTCACTGAATGCATATCCATAAGCGAAGGATACAGCTGTGAGCTCAAGGCCCTTTCAGCATGTGAGCATTTAAAGAATTACAAAGAAGATGTTTTTCACTGTTCTTTAAATGTGAGGGGATTTGAGGATGAATCAAAAGCAACAACCTGGCATGGAAACGCGAGCACGAGGCGAG